ATTCCCTTGTTGGTGATTTCCAAAGGTATTCCTTTGGTGGCGGAATACAAAGAAATTCCTTATGTGGCCGATTACATATTGATTTCTTGTGTGACGAATTACAAATCAATTCCCTTTGTGGCGAATTACAAAAGGATTCCTTTTGTGGGGGATTACAAATTGATTCCTTTTGTGGGGGATTACAAATTGATTTCTTTTCTGGCGGATTACAAATTGATTCCCTTTGTGGAGGATTACACATCAATTCCCTTTGTTGCGGATTACATAGGGATTCCTTTTGTGGGGGATTACATTGAAAACAAAATACTTTTCACACTTTTCATTGATTTTTCTTCTTTTTTTTTGTTTGTTCTTTCTCTCCCTGGTTTCCTCCTAAGAATCCTCCACAAAGGAAATCAATGTGTAATCCGCCACAAAAGAAATCAATTTGTAATCCGCTACAAAAGGAATCAATTTGTAATTCCCCACAAAAGGAATCCCTGTGTAATCCGCAACAAAGGGAATTGATTTGTAATCCTCCACAAAGGGAATCAATTTGTAATCCACCACAAAAAGAATCAATTTGTAATCCTCCACAAAATAAATCAATTTGTAATCCGCCACAAAAGGAAACTCTCACCACCCAACGCCATCGCAAGAATAAGAAATTACAGATGTAAGCAAAGCGAAAGAAATAACACCGAAAAACCAAAAACAGCACATCGTTAAATAGAACCATATTTTGACCTTACGGGGGGGGGGGGCCAGGGAACGCATCGAAATGAGGAGGGGCGCCATGAGATCTGGGGAAACAGCACGGCCCCCGCCATGGTACCCACCCACCCCACTAGTCATCCCCCCCCCTCTTCGCCGCCCCCGAGAGAGCGTCGCGCGCAAGGCGGCCTGGACCGGAGCGGTGCGGCCTTCCCCAGGGAGGGAGCGCGCGGGGGCGCAAAGAGACTTTTCCCGGCGCCTCGCGCGGGGCGCGAGGCGCGGGCTGCTCGGACTGCCGTAGACAGCTGGCGCCCCCCTGGGCGAGGAGGGAAGCCGAGGGAGGAGGAGGAGGAGGAAGAGGAGGAGGAGGAGGAGGAAGACCAGGGAGGAGGAGGAGGAGGAAGGAGGAGGAAGACCAGGGAGGAGGAGGAGGAGGAGGAAGATGGAGGATGAGGAGGACTTGTGTAAACCCGAGAGTCGTCAACGGTGCTGGAATAAGCCCTGCCTCCAAGCTCCCTCTTCACAGGCCCCTACAATGGTTTGATTTTCACTGAGGGAACTGCCTCGTTGGAAGACGACCGTTTGAAGACCCTGAAGCATGCCAAAACATTGTTCTCAGGATTCCAACTCCACGGATCGACCTGACAATTGCGTCTTGAAGATTCTGAATCGTGCCAGAACGCAATTCCTGGGACTTCAACACCGCGAATCAACGTAATTGTTACACCCTCAGAACCCTGAATCATTCCAATACACCGTTTCTGGTACGTTGATCATGGGAATCCGTGAAACTCTTGCAACGTTGATTACGAATGCGCGCAGCACTAGGTAAGAGCCGCATCTTGAAAAAGAACCGCCCTCAATCCGTGAAACTCTTGCAATTGTTTAAAACGAATATGCGCGGCGCTAAAACGAGAGACACTGTTTGAAAACAACCCGCCCTCCATCGGTGAAATTCGTGCAAATTTTGGCACGACCCGCCCTCCATCAGTGAATCTTTTGCCAGTGTTTAAGCTTCAGGGCCATAAAAGGTGAGGAAGTCTCAGGCGAAACACCCGGCCCGCCCTACAAACTAGCCTCAGGGTGCGACACGGAGAAGTTATGTAAAAGGCAAAGGACTCAAGAAGGAGGAGGAGGAGGAGGAGGAGGAGGATAGAGAAGCAGGAGGGGGAGGAGGAGGAGGAGGAGGAAGAGGAGGAGGAGAGGAGGAGGAGGAGGAGGATTGAGGAGGAGGAGGAGGAAAAGGCAGATCGAGGAGGAGGAGGAGGAAGAGGAAGAGGAGAGGGAGGATGAGGAGGAGAGGAGGAGGAGGAGGAGGAGGGATTGAGGAGGAGGAGGAGGGGGAGGAGGAGGAGGAGGAGGCAGATCGAGTAGCAGGAGGAGGAGGAGGATCGAGGAGGAGGAGGAGGAGGAGGAGGAGGATCGCGGAGGGACGCCCAAAACGCCTCGCCAAACCTCGACCCTCGGCGCTCGTCTGGGGACGGCCAGGGACGAGGGGGGCCGCTGGGGCCGGTGGGCGAGGGGAAGAAGGAGGAAGGATCGAGAAAGAGGAAGCGTGGGATCCAGCAGGAGCGACGAGGATCTGGTAGGGGCGCTGGCTGAAGCCAAAGGTGGAGGAGGAGGGGCGCTGGCTGAAGTCAAAGCTGCCAGAGCCGGCGGTCGAATTTCGGGACGCGGGCGCCCGCGCCGCGGCGGAAGCGGCGGGACTGTCCTGAGGCGCGGCTTGGCCGCGGCCAGGGCGGCAGAGCCGAGAGGCGGAAGGGCACTCCTCAGCCTTTTCCCTCCTCCCCTACGGTCAAGGTCCGATATATAGCGTGTCTGTGGTTTCGGGCCTTGCGAAACCGAAGGCGTTTACACGCTAAGCAGCGCAGGGGCGTACACGCTAAGTAGGGTCGGGTGGAAGAGCCAAACGACATACACGCTAAGCGCTCCGAGACGCTAAGCGCTCCAAGACGCTAAGCGCTCATATACACGCTAAGCGCTCCAGCCCGAGGTGATCTACGTAGGGGGCTTTCTCTTCCAACCCTCTTCTTCCCTTTCGGTGAGGGGTTTACGCACGCACCCCTCCCCCTACGTACGTACCCCCATCCCCCTGGACCTGGACGGGGAGATTTGCGACCGATTGGAGATGGCCCAAAACGGCTCCAAGAGGGTCCTGGAGAGCCCTGGAGAGCCCAAGATGGCCTCCAAGATGACCCGAAGTTATTAATCCAAGATGGGTCAAGATGGCTTCCAAGATACTCCAGACCGCTCCAAGACGATTCCAGGTGGGCTTGGGGCCTCCCTTGGACGCGCCCAAGACGCCCAAATCCCTCAAACACCTGGTAAGGTAAATCAATGATTCTACGTAGCCCTTTCGACTTTTCGCGTCCGATGACCTTCCGAAGCCGTGCGTACTTAAGATGGCCCCAGGGGGCCCAAGAGAGCCCCAACCCAAGAGACCCCAAGAGGCCTCCAAGAGACCCCCAAGAGGACCCCAAGCGGCCCCAAGAGACCCCCCGAGGCACCCAAGATGCCCCAAGAGCCCCCCGGGACCACCAAGAGACTCCCAAGACGTCCCAAAAGGCCTCCAAGAGACGCCCAAGAGATACGTACGTATGCCAAGAGACTCCGAGACTCCGAGAGGCATCCAAGAGGCTTCTGGCCCTTCTGCTCGCCCTCCTCCTCCTCCTCCCTCCTCCTTCTCCTCCTCTCCTCATCCTCCTCCTCCTCCTCATCCTCCTCCTCCTTCTCATCCTCCTCCTTCTCCCCCACTCCCTCACCCATCCATCCATCCATCCTCATCTTTCTCCTCCTCCTCCTCCTCCTCCTCCTTCGCACGGTTCGGCTTGCTCCATCTTTGTTCCTACGCACGTACACGTCCCTGGTCACATCAACTCGCCTGGGCGTCGTTTCTGGATGAGTGCGCAGGGGGGCATGATAAGGCGGCCCAAGAGGCCCCCAAGAGTGCCCCAAGACGGCCCAAGAGGCCCCCAAGATGGTCCCAAGACGGCCCCAAAGGTTTCCAAGACAGCCCAAGAATCGCCCAAAAGGGCCCAAGAGGGCCCCAAGAATGCCCCAAGAGAGGCCCAAGAAGGGGACCAGGAACCGAAACATCGAAACCTCCACCCCAAACGTCCCCCAGGAGGCCCCAAGAGGCGCCCAAGAGCCCCCAAGGGGCCCCAAGAGGCCCCCAAGAGGCCCCATGAGGCCCCCAAGAGGCCCAAAAGAGGCCCCAAAACGGCCCCCAAGAGGCTTCCCAGAGGCTCTCTCGAACTGGTGGGATCTGTGGGACCTGCGAAAACAATGGGACCTGTGGGGCCTGTGGGAATTGTACCTGTGGGGCCTGCGCGAGCTGCGACACCTGAGACACCTATGCGACATGTGGGGCCTGTGGGACCTGTGGGAGCTGCGAGACCTGCGACACCTGTGGGCCCTGGGGGGGGCTACCTGCACTTAGCGTGTCTGGGAGTCCTCGTCGCGCCGCGCATGGCGTCCGCTGGAAATGTGGGACCTGCGGGACTTGCGGGACCTGGGGGACGTGCAGGGCTGGCAGCAGCTCCGATGGGGTCCAGGTCCTGCGGCATCAGGGAGACTGGGACTAGTGGTCTCCCTGGGACCTGTGGGACCTGAGGGACCTGTGGACCCAGGAGGACCTACACGACGATTGGGGCCTGCGGGACCTGTGGGACATGTGGGTCATGCGAGACCTGCGAGACCTCCGACACCTGTGCGACATGTGGGGTGCGTGGGACCTGTAGGAGGGACCTGTGGAACCTGCGCGACGTGCGACACATGCGGGACCTGGGGGACATACCTGCACTTAGCGTGTCTGGGGATCCACGGCGCGCCGCGCGCGCCATCTGGGGCCTTTGGAGCCCATGGGACTAGTGGGATCTGTGGGACCTGTGGACCTAGGGAATATGTGGGGCTTGTGGGACCTGGGGAACCTGTGGGACCTGTGGGACCTGCGAGGCCTGCGAAATGTTCGACACCTGTGCCACCAGTGGGCCCTGTGGGACTCCTGGGATCTGTAGGACTTTCGAGGCCTGCGACACCTGTGGGACCTCGGAGACCTACCTGCACTTAACGTGTCTGGGGCCCCGTCGCGCCGAGCGCGCCATCCGCTCGAAATGCGGACCCGCGGCACTAATAGGCTATCTGGGACCAGTGGGACCTGCAGGACCTGTGGGACTAGTGGGATCTGTGGGACCTGGGAGAACAATGGGACCTGTGGGGCCCGTGGGCATTGTACATGTGGGGCCTGCGCGAGCTGCGACACCTGCGACACCTATGCGACATGTGGGGCCAGTGGCACCTGTGGAAGCAGCGAGACCTGCGACACCTGTGGGCCACGGGGGGGCTACTTGCACTTAGCGAGTCTGGGAGTCCCTCGCGCGCCGCGCCCGCCGTCCGCTGGAAATGTGGGACCTGCGGGACTTGCGGGACTTGGGGGGCGCGCGGGACTAGCAGCAGCTCCGATCGGGTCCAAGTCCTGCGGGGCCTGGGGGACCGTGGGACTAGTTGTCTGTCCCTCTGGGACCTGCGAGACTAGTGGGGCCTGAGCGACCTGTGTGGGCCTTGGAGGAACTCTACGACAATTGCGGCATGCGGAACTTGTGGGACCTGTGGGCCATGCGAGACCTGCGAGACCTCCGACACCTGTGCGACATGTGGGGCGTGTGGGACCTGTGGGAGGGACCTGTGGGACCTGCGAGACCTGCGACACATGTGGGACCTGGGGGGGGGGCCTACCTGCACTTAGCGTGTCTGGGGATCCACGGCGCGCCGCGCGCGCCATCCGGGTCCGGGGAGACTGCTGGACTAGTGGTCTCTCTGGTTCCTGCGGGACCTGTGTGGCGAGTGGGACCTGTAGGACCTTTGGGGCCTGGGGGACCTGTGGGACTTGTGGGGCCTGTGGGACTAGTGGGACTTGTGGGGCCTGCGAATCTTTCGACACCTGTGCCACCAGTGGGCCCTGTGGGGCTCCTGGGATATGTGCGATCTTCAAGGCCTGCGACACCTGTGGGAACTCGGAGACCTACCTGCACTTAACCGTGTCTGGAGATCCCTGGCGCGCCGAGCGCGCCGTCCGCTGGACACGCGGACCCTGCAGGACCCCTGGAGCCTGGGGGATTGTCGGACTAGAAAGTCATCGAGGACCAGTGGGACCTGTGGAACCTTTGGGGCTACTGGGACCTGCGCGACCTGGAGAACGCGCGCGGCGTGCGGGACCTGCGAGACCTGTGTGGCCTGTGGGGCTTGCACCCGCGGGGCCTGCGAGACCTGCCGCGCCTGTGCGCCATGTGGGACCTGTGGGGC